GAGCAGCAAACACCAAGGTGGTTTACACTTGGGAGACATCATATCCTGAGCCATCCTAGAGGAACCACTGCACCCAGAGCAGAAGGATTTCCAAGAGGTGGCCTGAGTCCCAGGAGTTCTTCCACCCAGGAGATTAGGATCATAAGACCAAATAGACATCTGGACTCTGAGGAGCTCTACCACAAGCAAGATAACTGGAAATACAGACTCCAGTCTTACACAGTGAGGGCAGGTAACCACTAGAGTTAACCAGATGGCGAAAGGCAAGCACAAGAACATAAGCAACAGAAACCAAAGTTCTTGCCATCATCAGTACCCAGTTCTCCCAATATAGCAAGCCCTGGACACCCCATCACACCAGAAAAGCAGGATTCAGAATTAAAATCACTTCTCATGATGATGATAGAGGATTATAAGAAGGAATTAAGTAACTCCCTTAAAGAATTACAGGAGAGTACAAGTAAACAGGTAAAAGCCCTTAAAGAGGAATCACAGAAATCCCTTAAAGAAATGCAAGAAAACACAAAGAAAAAATTAAACAAAAACATTCAGGATCTGAAAATGGAAATAGAAACAATAAAGAAAGCTCAAAGGGAGACAACCATGGAGATAGAAAACCTAAGAAAGAGATCAAGAGTCTTAGACACAAGTACCACCAACCGAATATAAGAGATAGAAGAGAAAATCTCAAATGCAGAAGATACTGTGGAAAATATTGACACAGTTGTCAAAGAAAATGCAAAAATGCAAAACACTCCTAACTCAAAACATCTAGGAAATCCAGGACACAATGAGTAGACGAAACCTAAGGATAATAGGTATAGATGAGAATGAAGACTCCCAACTTAAAGAGCCAGTACATATCTTCAACAAAATTATTGAGGAAAACTTCCCTAACCTAAAGAACAAGATGCCCATAAACATACAAGAAGCCTACAGAACACCAAATAGACTAGACCAGAAAAAAATACCTCCCGTCACATAATAATCAAAACATCAGATGCACAAAACAAAGAAAAAATACTAAAAGCAGTAAGGGAAAAAGGTCAAGTAACATATAAAGGCAGATCTATAAGAATTACACCAGACTTCTCACCAGAGACTATAAAAGCCAGAAGAGCCTGGACTGACATCATACAGACCCTAAGAGAACACAATTGACAGCCCAGACTACTATACCCAGCAAAACTCTCAATCACTATAGATGGTGAAACCAAGATATTCCATGACAAAACCAAATTTGCACAATATCTTCCCACAAACCCAGCACTTCAAAGGATAATTGATGGAAAACACCAACACAAGGAGGGAAACTACAACCTAGAAAAAGCAAGGAAGTAATCTTCCAACAACCCCAAAAGAAGATAGCTATACAAACATAATTCTACCTCTAATAACAAAAATAACAGGAAGTCACAATCATTTTTCCTTAATATCTCTTAACATCAATGGACTCAATTCCCCAATAAAAAGACGCAGACTATCAGACTGGATACACAAACAGGACCCAGAATTTTGCTGCATACAAGAAACGCACCTCAGTGACAAAGACAGACACTACCTCAGAATAAAAGGGTGGAAAACAATTTTCCAAGCCAATGGTCCCAAGAAACAAGCTGGACTAGCCATTCTAATATCAAATAAAATAGACTTTCATCCAAAATTAATCAAAAAAGATAAGGAAGGACACTTGATACTCATCAAAGGAAAAATATACCAAGGTGAACTCTCAATTTTGAACATCTATGCTCCAAATGCAAAGGCACCTACATACATTTACTAAATTACATACATTTACTAAAACTTTACTAAAGCTCAAAACACACATTGCACCTCACACAATAATAGTGGGGGATTTCAACACCCCACTCTGAGCAATGGACAGATCATGGAAACAGAAACTAAACTGAGACACTTTGACATTAACAGAAGTTATGAACCAAATGGACTTAACAGACATCTATAGAACATTTCATCCTAAAACAAAAGAATATACCTTTTTCTCAGCACCTCATGGTACCTTCTCCAAAACAGACCATATAATTGGTCACAAAACAGGCCTCTACAGATACAAAAAGATTGAAATAATCCCTTGCATCTTATCAGATCACCACGGACTAAGACTGGTCTTTAATAATGACAAAACCAATGGAAAACCCACGTGCAAATGGAAACTGAACAACTCTCTACTCAATGATGATTTGGTCAAGGAAGAAATAAAGAAAGAAATTAAAGACTTTTTAGAATTCAATGAAAATGAGGACACATCATACCAAAACTTGTGGGACTCCATGAAGGCAGTGCTAAGAGGAAAACTCATAGCTCTAAGTGCCTACAAAAACAAACTGGAGAGAGCACACACTAACAACTTGACTGCACAACTAAAAGCTCTAGAAGAAAAAGAAGCAAATACACCCAGGAGGAATAGAAGGCAGGAAATCAGGAGGGCTGAAATCAACCAAATAGAAACAGAAAGAACAATACAAAATCAGTGTGGTGGTTCCTCAGAAAATTGGACATAGCATTACCTGAGGATCCAGCTATACCACTCCTAGGCATATACCCAGAAGATGCTCGAACATAACAAGGACATATGCTCAACTATGTTCATAGCAGCCTTATTTATAATAGCCAGGAGCTGGAAAGAAACTTGAAAATTCTAGTGGTTGACTGGAGCATCAGGCAAGGATGATAGACTAGGCTAGGGCATTGGTTGTAGAATGAGGATTTGATTTGTCAGGTTGCAAAAAGGTGTGGATGGGAAATCAGGTGTACTCACCAGACTACACTCTGGTGGAGGGTGTGGTAAGTCCGGGTAAGGAGTGTTGTAGTGGATGGCACCCAGAATGGCCCTGTGAATGTTTGCAGATAGTGAAGTTACTGGCTGGAGCAGAGATGTTGACTGCTGGGCAGGCTGGTATGAGTAGACTAGGCCAGGACAAGGGATGTGGTACCCTGGAGAAGGTTTGATGCTGGCTATGTTGGAGATGAAAATAGTCAGTCTAGCCCTGTGCACTGCTTGTAGAGCAGATAGACCTGACCAGTTTAAGGGAAGGGCATGAAGGAGGAGAGGAGTTTTCTTCACTAGGCTAAACCCTAGGGAAGGATATGGGAAGTCTGGTACAGGCTATGGTTGGGAGGATTAGAAGGTACCTGTGACTGGTTGCAGATTGGGCAGGTCCTGGTAGAAGCCTAAAATATTTTTTTTCTTCAATGGGTTAATTCAATGAGACCAGAAAGAATACTAAAATATATGTTTTAGTCATATTAGTCGTGAAGTATTTTCACTGTTGTTTGAAATACTATCATTTGATATGTGACATTTTACAACTATTTTTCCCTTAAGGCATAATACCTTTTACTGTACTTCTCTGATACTCCTGAGTGAGAATAGGCACAGATTACCTACCTTGAAAACTGTATTGGGTACAACAACAGTGGAAAGAGAATTATAGAAAACTACCCTTCTTTTCTAGTGGATATTTCTCTTCCATTTACATAGTTTGTAATTCTCAGAGTCATTAATATATAGCACAGAATAAGTTACCCTGCTCATTTATGGTGATGATCTATTCCATAACATAATGAGATTGCAAGAACATTGAAAGTAATTAGATTCCAATGATACTGAGTGTGGATCCCAATTTTAAAATTATTGTCTATATAAGGAAAGAAAATACAGCTCTCTCAGCCATTCACTCACTCCCTCATCTCTTGCCCTTTCTCACTCTCTCACTTTCACAGTACCACTTCATCCTTCCTATTTTCTCCTTCCCTTTCTCTGTCCATTTATCCAAGCCCTCTTCCTTCCTTACATATCTTCAAATCTGATTGTTAAATTTCTTAAGAACTGGATCTATTACTAGCCTTGTACTTCAAGAGCTGTGAAAATGGTCTATTGATCAAGTGATGCTCTAATCTCCATCTTTTATTATAGTTTGCAGTCTTAAAATATTTTGTCTCTCAATTCTTACTCACTCTGAATGTAGGGAATTTACTTGCCTTATCCAGAAGCTACATTAGTGAATCTCTCAGAAGAAATGAACATTATCAACTACTGTTGTAAGGAACTATTGTATCCTAAAATGCCTCAACTACCTTGCTCATGAAATGTTCCATGGCTTTTCGTGGGTAAAGCTAAACAAATATCTATAAACTTCAATCTACAATATACTCAAATTTTTCCATCCAAGTCCGACTTACTGGACCAATAAATTTATTAGGACTACTTACAGAGGTATAAGTGAGGGGTTAGGTAAAATAACATAGGTGACTCAAGGGCAGATGCATAACTGAAAAGCCTACCCAAGCCTGAGTAATGACTGCTTAAATAAGCAAGTCAAGAGTTTCCTGCATTACTCCCAAGCTGCTCAGCTGGAAGGATTATCTCCTCTACCAACTACTGTTACTGCTTATCTAACTGGGGGGAGAGACCTCATATATCTGGTATCAATTTTCTGACACATGCAAGTTTTGTTACTTTTTGATTTTTATGAGGCTTCATTCTTCTTGGAAGAAACTAGATACAAGGCTAAATTTACCGGTTTATTTTCTTATAGAGTTTAGTAAGTTTAATGAAACCAAGTTTGTTTCTATTAAAATTATGATCTAAAGACAAAACCAAGAGTGACACAGATGAACTGACCACTTTACTTTGTTTTATCAACTGTAGCACATCACATTCTGTGAAACCTTTTCTCATGTCTTGTTTTACACTTATTAAGAAGAAATATATGAAGGTTTTCCAACAACTTTAAAACCCCAAATATCTTACCCTTGACAAAGAGCAATAAACGTGGCAGACATTACATTAAGAAGCATATATGAAACAAATTAATCTTCAGTTACAGGAATATTAATGTAACAAAGAAAGGTATGTATACTTTCCACATGCATAACAAAAGGTACTGTCTTAGTGTATTCCCACCTACTCATAAATGCCCCACTACTCAGAAGACTGGCTGTTCTTGAGCACAGTGACAGCTATCACCAAGGGCTAGCTACATGTGGGAGGACCTTCTAGGTTGGGCATGGGAGGGAAGCCTGGCAGCATGGAAACTAACAGCCTCATCTCTCCTTGCTGCTCTCTCAGCCTGGTTACTGAGAGCCTCCTCATACTGTTGAGGATAGTAACCAGGAATGGCATTTCTGATCTTATCCAAAACTTCCAGGACTTTCCTGGAAGTGGATTCCTCATGGGCTCTGGAACCCCATAGAAACTCATAGGTTGGGGGATCACTGCCAGGAACCTGGCGGTACTCCACATAATTTTGCTCAACTAGCTCTTTGGTGATGAAATTCCGGGGCTCCCCAAAGATTAAGTGCCTCCTCCCAGGATATATCCCCTGCAGGTGGAGAAACTGCCAGACCTCTTCCTCAGTGGCACGGTTGCCCTTCATTAAGATCATACCCAGGAGGGTCAGAATGAGACCCGTCTTAGGCAATTCTCTCCTGCCACCCACATTTGCCCCAGGGAGGATGGGTAACTTGTTAACTAGGACATAGGACTGAGTGGCAGGGTTGTCAACCTTCAACTCCAGACCGTAGACCAGTTCCAGCTGATAGGCAGCTTTCTCCAGGATCCAGGGGAAGTTAACCTTGTACTTCCGGCTGATCAGCTTCAGCATCTCTGCCTCCACGGGTTGCTCATCCTTCTGGTACTTCTCCAGCAGATAGTGAAGTACCTTGCTGGCCTTCCTGGTCAGAGGATCACTGCGTGCAGATTGGATGGCTTCTGCTATAATGGAGACATTTGTACGTCTCTCTTCCACACCTGCAAAGGAACCTGCAGCACCAACATCATGGACCGGATGGGAAACATTTAACCCAGGAGAACTATGGGATGCAGCCTGCTGGGACTCCTGAGGAGTGGCTATATCAGGGGAGCTGGAGGTATCTCCCTGGACAAGGGCAGGAGATGCTGCTTCCTCCTCCTCCACAGTGGGCTGAGCACCCTGGATATTAGGCCTCTCTCCCCGCATCTGCTGCCTTTTGGCCCGGGAGCGGCTCTTGCTCTTGTTGCCTCTAGGCATGGTGCTCTGGGTAAGTGGACAGGAGTGCTAGAAAGGATCTGTGCGGAGAGAAAGATACTATGTAACCATCATTAGGTAGAAAGCAACTTCCCTTTAAGGAGCGACCCCTAACCCTACCCCCCCCCAACCGGCTGCCTTCATCTGGACACCTTTCTGGATTCGAACCCTGTTCCTGTTCTCCTGTTCAGTCTGCTTCCTGAGAAATCTGTGGAGGGAATCATAATTTGTTAGGCCATTGCCTGGCAATCCAAGTAATAGCTGACTAGGGTGAAAGAAGAGCTTATTCTAGGGCCACATTTTGTTCCCCATTAATATTTATGTTCATTTTTAAGTAAGTCCTCATTCCCACCTTCTTCTGCTGCTCTGAAGTTAGCACTACACTCTTCACTAGTAAGGAAAATGTAGGAGGAAATTGAGGTAAGCTTTACCATTGTTTTCTGATAACATTCAGTTGGCAGCAAATATGCTATGCTTTCATAATGCCTCCCTCCGTTTCCTTCCCAGAAATAGTTTCCATTAATTTCCCACCTTTCCTTTTTCAAAGGACAAAAATGTAATATCTTAACCCTCAGGCCTGCCTGACCCTTGACATAACCTATGGACCATTAGGGAACAATTTTGTGTATTTAACCACACACATAGCATGGAGTCTTCAATTTCACAATTCACCTTCCTTTAAACTCATAGTGTCGATCTTTCCCTTTCAGTGAACCCCTGAACCTCTAATGGAGACCTTTACTCCCTAAGAAGAATGAGGAGCATTAATGAAAATTGGGCCTAACTGCCGCTTCCAGGAATTCTGAGGAACAGGGCAGGGACCAGGCCGTTGCTGAGGCAGGGTTGGTTATGAATTTAGGAATGTATATGGGATGTCATAGTTTTAAGTCATCACCAGGGAAAGATTCTTACCAGAGTAAAGGCCAAGCTTCTCGACGCAAAGTGCAATCGTACAGGCTGAACAGTCCTCAAAGAGGAAGTTAAGATCATCCACTTCCGGCCCCCTGCCCCGGAAGCATGCTTCTCGTGCTCTGGTCATCTAAACGGAATCCCATAGTGGGCAGAGAAGAACTGATCCATCTTTTGTTGTTGTTGTTCTGGGGGAGGGGAATTCCTAGAGAACATACAAAAATTATTTTTCTTGAATTTGAGTAGAACTAGAATTTTTTAATGTGGGCCAAAGGGTCTCGTGTAAAAGATCGAATTCTTATCAGTCATGAGTATGAAGCAGACGGAGTGATTCTTAGTCCAGCACTGATGCCCAAGACTCCAGTATAAAGATAACAGCTCAATCTCTGTGTTTGTGAACCTGGTTTCATGACTGTATTGCCCTCTCCTCATTTTTCGCCTCTCCTCCGCATCTCCTCTACTTTGCTCTCATTTCTCTTTTCTTTACCTTTTTATTATTTTTAACTCTTTCATTCTCTTCTTTATCAAATCTACTGGCAGTTTCTCCCTATGTAACTCAGATTGTCATAGAACTCACTGTCTTGGTCTCAGAGTTGCTGAAAAAGTCACTAACCTCTTACCTGTGTCCCCAGTACAAGTATTATTTGAATATATCAAAATTCCTGGCATCTCTCATTTTTCCTTATGAATAATTTGTCATTTTATTTCGAGGTTGGAATCAAGTATTTCTGTATAGTATAGGCTGTCTTACAAATTCCTATGTAGCCTAAAGTATAATTTAAATGACAAGTCACCTGCTTTTGCATGACCTGTGATGAGAGGAGTGGTATAAATCACCACCCTCGGATCTCATTAATTTTCTGATATTTACTGCAGTAGCTAGAAATTTTATATTTCCTCTTAATGTAAATGAGTATAATTTTCCTTGTATTCTCACTAAAATTACTTTTTTTTCTTTGTTTTAAAATTTATGGCATATAAAATCAGCCAGAGGCCTAAAATCAGCAATAGGCCTGTCATACATGTATACTAACACCAAGTCTTAGGTCTCTGTGGAAAAACATTGAAACAGATGGCTATAAGCTAATGTAAACAGGCAGCTTTTGTGGAAATTTACCAGCCTGAGTAGTCATAGACCTTGTAAATAGGTAGCCTTGGCAGATAATACCAACTTAGATAAGGACAAGTGAATCATAGACAGAGTCATAGTGACCTGTCCCCTGAACCTTCACCCAGCCGATACCCTGTTCTGAAAGATATCTGTATTCCCCCTGAACACCCACAATCCAGTGTCATTCACTTCCTCACATCCTGCCTTTCTGTGTTTATAACCACTGTGTGAATGAATTATGATTTGAGAAAAAATAAATTATTTAAAAAAATCCATGGCGTAGCAATAAACTATTTATCTTATTGAAAATAGAGTCTTTTGGAGTTGCCATTCTCACTACAATGAGAGGGAGTCACAATGCCGTAATGATTTGTTTCCCTAATGGATAAAGCTTTTGTAGGTTTTTCATCCATTTATTAGCTGTGTGCATTTCATTTGAAATGATGATTCCCTTTATTTGCCAATTTATTGAATATATTATTTATATTTTACTATTTATTTTTCAATTCTTTCTATATTATCTGTATTAAATTCTGAAGTATGAATAACTGGCAAAGATTCTATGTACTTTTCCATCTGGAAGTTTATTCTTATGCTATGCAGCATTTTCACTTTCTGTGACTCCCATGTGGCAGATTGTGGGAATATGACTACAGTTTTTGAGTCCAAAATATTTAGAAATTTATTAACTGTGTATATACACTGAATTCTTTTCCATAAATTTCCCTCTAGATGTTTCAAGATTTCATTTTTGCACTCATTTGTTTGTTCCATTTTCCACAGAGTAGGAAACGAGTTTAGTCTTTTAACTTTTATTCTTTTCTTTATATCAATACCCAGATATCCCAGCAATATTTTTAAAATAGGATGTGTGTGTTTTTTAATTATCTTTGGTTTTGGCATAAGCTTGAAAAACAAAGTGACATAAGTTGTTTATTCAAATGATAGTACTAAACTGTTACCACTAATATTGCTTTTCTTTATTTTTACCTTTTTTTATTTGATATTCTTGCTGAATGTAATGACACATTGTGGTGTTTCCTCTGACTGTCAATAGTAGAGTTAATTGTAAGTTTTTCTTATTATTGATACTCTTGTACATATATGTAGTAAAATATTATCATATACATTCCCCTATTTCTCTGATTTAATTCTCCATATTTCTCTTCTAACAAATCTTCTCCCAATTAATCTCCCTCCCAGCCAATCTGTCTCTCAACAAATCTCCCTCCTAACAAGGCTCCCTCCAAACTTCATGTTTCAGTTCTTTTAAACTTCTTTTGATAGGTCATTAAATATAGTTAGTGTTTTCTTTATGTGAATAGGTATGAGAACATCCACTGAAACATGAGAAACCTACCAGTGACCACACCCTCAAAAATAATGATGTTTCCTCCTCCACTGTCAACTGTCAGTATCCTCTAGATAAAAAGTAGGGCCTAAATAGTGATTTCTATACTTATACTGGAATTTTTCAGGCTTGATCTTGTGAAGACATTGTACAAATAACCATAATTGTTGTAAGTTCAAATTGAGATACCTGTCTCATGTCCATAAGACACTACTTCACAGCGCTCCTCCCCATCATCCAGCATTTTGAATATTTCTGACTTCTTTTTCATTATGTTTCCTGACACTTGGTGTGGGGCTGGTTAAGCTATCACATTCAGGGATGAGCACTCCATTTCTTACCCTTAGCACTTTGTCCAGTTGTGTGTCTCTGCAGTGACTGTTCTCTACTGCAACAAGAACCTTCTCTGAAGAAGTTTGAAAGCTGCCCAGTATATGGGTGTAAATCCTACTTTTATTCACCAGATGTAATTGTCATCTCCAAGGCTTATTGCTGAATGAACTCACCCCTTCTAGTTTATGAGACAAGCCGACCATGTCACTAGACAGAAGAACTGATAAGGTTGAGCAGGCACAAGCCCTGGGGAAATTCAGAATTGAAAACAGCAGGCTTAAGGTAGATCCCTGCCAAACTCCTCTTGTTCTGAAACATGTAAACAGGACACCACACTAAGAGGGCCATGACAATCAGTTATGTAGGGATAACATTTTATGTTGGGTCTGTTTAAGGAGAGGTGTGGCACAGTTCAGCCCCTGGAGCATCAGCAGGCCTTTGATCTTCACATGTGCTGATGGTTGCTTTTGGCCTGAAACTGATCTGCTGTCTCTTCTATTTTACTTTTAATCTCCATTTCTGGGGAATATACTCCCTCCATTACTCAGAGATAATCACTCCATAATAAATAAAACACATTCAGTTCTCAGGAGTAAGGAATGGAGGTGGTCATTAAGCTGCAGAGGACTAGAAACTGGTTTTCTACTTGGCATTTTTGGGCCATAGGAAAGGATCTACATAATATAGCCATAGAGGCCATAAAACCCTACATAATCTTTTATAGAAATAGTTTATTGCCAGACTTGGCCTTGAATTTGGAATTTCAAGGAGGAGATATTGAGAGACCAAACCTACTCCATCTTGGGACTGGTCTCCAAGTTAAAGAACAGAAAAAAAGCCTGAGAATTTGACCTGTAGCAGAACCCAAGCTTGTACCCATGTACCAGGAAGGACCCCATGGCTTGTCCTTGGCTAGAGTTACTCCCTAGCTACTTCCTAGCAACAGTTTGATTAGTCTGATTGTTTCAGATGTACTTTCAGACTGTTTGTGATTGTATGCAATCTTGCTTGTAGTCATTGTATTATATGCTTGCCATGCTGAATACCTCCTTCCTCACCCCCGTCACTTGCTCCTATTTTACTATAAAAACTTGTCATGCTGAGGATTCAGGGCTGCTCCATCTTCATGTCCTGCTATGCCAGGGTTGGCTTGGAGGAGAGCCCAAGCCAGAAGCTTGTAATAAAGAGATTCTAATGCTACTACATCAGAAAGAACTCCTTTATGGTCTTTTGGGGTTCATGAACACTTCCTAGCACAAGAACATATGTACATGCTAGTCAAATGACTGATTAATTAGT